TTTTGTGTTTGTTGGGGGGGCTGGAAAAAAAGGGGGGGGGGGGCCGGCTCGCCCCCGCGGGCCGTAGTTTGGGGACCCCTGTTTTAGAGTAAACCGTTCAGATTTGTTTTAATGTTTGCTGTAGGTCAGAATTGAATAACCCTAATGTTTAATCTAAAGTAGGCATTTCCCTTTTTTCTGATTTTAAAATGAAAAAAAAAAAAAAAAGTTTTGGCTCAAATGGGGAAATGTGGCTATTAAACTTTGCAGCAAAATGTGTCCAATTTATCTGCTTGTTTAAACTAAATGTCTAGAATGTTATAACACCTATTAAACGCCACATCTAAAAATGTTGTCAATAACAGGACTGTTCAGTCACTTATACCAACGCTTTAGTTCTGCCGTTTACATTCGACGCATACATCATTCACCAGATGTGGCTGAGTTTCCCAAGGATACTCTAATGGAAGTACTGAGAAAGTTTATTTCATTATGAGACATGAGCCACTGCTTTTTGTAGTTGTGGGGAAAATAACATTTCCAGCATGTGAATTATGCAAGGAGTTTATTGGGATGTTTTTGGAAAGTGGTGATTTAAATAAAAAAAGCATTCCCCTGCTTTAATTTCAAATTAATATTTATGCTGCTGTGATGCGGGTTGAGCTTGTGGAGCTGCTTTGAGTCCTAGGACATGCTGTCAGCTTTTAAGCCACCTGCTCATTTTTATACACAGTTATGGCCAAAAAAGCATCCATATGCTTGAAAAAATGAAAAAATTAGGATTAAGGTTTTCAAATTGGTTCACAAGACTGGAGAACACTTTTTGGAAGGCAACTACAAATAGGTTTCAGTTTAAAAGACTTGCAACATGATTACAACAAATCCTCTCGACTTTTGTTGCATTTCATCCACTTTTTCCCTAATTTAATTTCCATTTTTAATTTTATACCAGAGGTCCCTGGGGGGATGGCTGGAGGAAAAACTATTACAAAAACAGGACGTTGTCAGAGTTATTGGACTTAAAAGAAAGTATGCAAACTTTTACTGTTATGCTAAACCAACCTTAGGAACAACAACATTTTCTTTGTTTTCTCTTGTTCTGCAGGTACACTGGTCCGTTCCTCTCACAGTTGTGCTGATGAATTCTTGCTGATATTCAGCGTTGCTGCTGCTGCTGCTGCTGCTGCTGCTGCTGCTGCTGCTGCTGCTGCTAACATCATAATTCAACCCATGCGGGTTGTCTGGCACATTATTCTCCGACAGTGTAATAAATTAATTGCACGTTTTATTTCAAACTCAAAGAAGGGATTTGTTAAAATTCTCTCTAATGAGACAATAAGTCTCATGTAAAATTAATCACCTTAGCTCAACGGTAATTAAAATTGCACCAGAAGTCCTCGGAAGTTCCGTTTTCTCTCGTTTGAGTGGAAGCTAATTGTGCTTCATTTTGCACAAAATTGGGAGAAACGGAAAGTTGTTCTGTCTGGTGCTTTTTAAACATTTTTGCACACCGCATTTCCATACCCACTTAACCACTGTGCACTCAGCTAGCAAATGCCATTAGTTCAGGAACCATGTTCTCTTACCCATTAGAGGTTTGTGATGGGCCTCAGCTCAGTTCCCTGTTTCAACTTCCTGCAGTGCAAGTCGAAACAGATTTCCTGTGGTAATGCTGAGTGAGATGTTAAGTTAAAAAAAATAAAATAAACAAGAAAATGAAAAAAATCAGACGAGGCAGAAAGAGGCCACTCCAAACCGCACACACCTAATAAGTAGGTGTGTGCCTGCCCAAATGTGGGCAAATTGACCCTTTGTAACTACATCACTTAATCATTCCAGGCACCGTGATGGACGTCGGAAGTTAGGGACAGGAGTATTGAACCGATTGACTGAAACTGTTTTCCCAAGTTGTTTTTGCCAGTTTTTTAATGACTTCTACTTGTTCGAGTTGAGCTAATTTTGTCTGTGAACATAACACACCCGGTTGGGGCTCATACAAGGTATTTACAAAAGTTGGAAATAGCTAGTATAGAAACCGACTCATACCTTTTTCCTCCTGACGTGTTGATCAAATTCCTGACTTCGCCTGAATTCACACCACATGATTTATGTCACTATGTCATTAAAATAGTTTCCCCTTAAACAAGAGAAACCTTAAAAACGTACAAAAGATGAGATGCTAACCATTTTTGTTCCTACATGCTAGGCTACATGACGGTGTGGCATTGTCTCCATGGTCATCAATGGTTAGAAGCGTACTTTCTCCATTAAGCGAGATTTGATATCTTTCTGATAATACTTATAAAGTATATTAATGTTAATCTTATCTTGTAAAAGGTCTTGTCTGCTAATCTGCGATTTCACCGAGGACTTCGAGTCCTCTATGCTATCCATTGCCGCCTCATTAAAAGGTATACACAATAAAATGATAAGCTTGGTTTGGATCCTTCTCTGTGCAGCCGACAGCGCAGCACCCCATGACCATTTTATAGTAAAATTAACTAAATAGAATTGATATTAAGCTACACATGTCTGTTTTTAGACTAGTTTTAATGTAGCACATTGGTTGTTTTGATGCAGGCAGAGTTCTGGAGAGCGTGATGTCATGCGTAAAGGGTCAGTATTTTGCTAATGTTGAATAAACATTAGCAGTTGCCTTGTTTCCATTAAATAAGAAATGAAGTGATGTGAATAAGCTTGTTGATGCGATAAGTAATTGAAAATCATGGAAGCGACGGTCATAGCAGTTACATGATATGTATTCATAATTCATCCATGATGCTAGCTCTCATCATCTATCAGCCAATCAAAGGAGACATCAACATCTTATTCAGGCGTTGTAGCGACAAGGCCCGCCTACTTGGGAGCTGCTATGTATGTAGCATTTTGGGGAAATTATAGTCGATCATTTTACTTAAGTGTTATGGATTCAACATGTTGGAATGAGACTCAACGTTTTATGAACTGTGTGATGCTGTGAGAGCGCTGGTGGAGCCAGCTGTGCATTGTGTGAAAAAACAAAAACTAAACATCAACCTCCTGAATAAAAAAAAAAATAAAATACATATATTATTATTTCTCATCTTTTACTTTCCTGTGTTTTCCCACAACCTGCATGTTCTGTCTGATATAAGATCTCTATACACTCTGACGCAGGACGTTTCTCAGATGTCTCAATATGTTCTCAGTGTGTCATGGGACTCTGCTCCTCGCTGCATTGCTTTAATTACTTTATTTTCCCTCATCCCTTTCTCCTTCACTCCATCACCCCGAGCTGCTCCTCGTTCCTTTTAATTAATCCACACAGACTTAGACACCCTTTCCCCTGCTGTGGTTGTGTATACACACACACACACACAACCAACTCTGTACAGACACACACTTGACGGCTCCCTTTAGACGAGCACAGCTTCGAGTGATCTTGCTCCGTCTTAAAAGTTTTGGTGGAAACTGATGCCTGATAGTTGGATGTTTTGTTTTTGGTCTGATTTTTTTCTGCAGGGCTCCAATGGAAGCATGCAGCTCATGGAGACGGAGTTCTCCAAAACTCTGGGAGAAATGGTGACCCTTCACCTCCACCACCAGAAGAGCATCCCGGCCTTCCTCTCTGCCGTGACGCTGGACCTGTTCAGCCGACAGACCACCTTCTGAAGAGTGTCACCTCTTAAATGGAAAAGTGTAAAATTAGATTTATTTTTTTCTTAAAATGGCCAAGTGGCTATCATAGCTTTGAAATATGTATTGTATGGAAATTGATGTAATGTGAATTTAAAACATTTTTTTTTTCTTTTAATGTCTTTTTTTTCTTTTCTTTATTTTCTCCCAAAACTCGATAGACAAAATTTCATGTTAAAGTTTTCTGCCCTGTCGGCCATTAAAATTATTGCCCCTCATAAAAAACTTTGGAAATAAAATGTATCTTTTATTGAAGTAACACAGTCTCCCACTGAAAATCCAGTAGTACGCACAACTACTATGAAGATTTCTTTGTAATGAATAAAACAAAAAATATTATTTTGTTTCTACTTGACTTTATTGATTAGGAGCTTCAGATTAGCATACTTTGACTATTGATGTTTCAGTATGCCAATAACTACAACTTCCCTCTCATTTCAGATTCAAGCTGCTGTTTGAACATAATGCAAAAGGAAAAAAAAAAAAAATATATATATATATATATATATATATATATATATACACACACAGATATATATATGCGTGTGTGTGTGTGTGTGTGTGTGTGTGTGTGATAAATCTGCCAAAATGTAGTTTCACTGTATTTAATTAGAGCAGGCAGCTCCATTTGTTCAGGCTGGGAGTATTTGTGTGGTTCTATTGTCACCAAAGCAGCGGTATGCCCGATGATTTCGGTAAGCTGCTTATTTCCTTTTTCTCTATTTTTTTGCCTCGTCTCTTTCATTACTGTTCTCGACTGTTAAAAATATATGAAAACATAATTATGATGCCAAATCATCACAGGATATGTGAAGCCAGAACTGGGGTGTGGTTGTGTGTGAGTGCGCGCGTCTGAAATACATGGAAAAGTGTTAAATTAACTTTTTTCTTTTATAAAATAAAATGCCAAAGCTTAAGATAGACTATAGAGTTGAGTCATTTATCTTGCTATCACTCGAGCAAGATAAGTGACTTGATAAACACTTTAAATCATGTCTGATTTAAAGTGTTTCACATGTCTAAAGCAGCAGGTTGGCTTGCTTCGTCTCACCTCCAAATGTGGTGTTGTTGTATTGGGACACCTTCAGATTCCTCCATACTGTTTTCCTTCGACAGCTTAACCTTCTCGTGGTCTTAAGAGACGGAGTCTTTTGGAGCTTTTCCCCGTTACACTAACAGATCAGCAGAAACTGTTAGATCGTCATACGCTTAGAACGAACTGACGACTATATCTATCAGACAAGTATACACCGTCATTACCATATGACTTTATTTAATCAGCAACATAGAATCATGACATAGATCGTCATACACTTTATTAACAGCTGTATGGCATCCTACCTTAGTGGTTAACTAGTCAGACCATCGTCAAGCAGCAGGGATGTGAGTTTTACATGGACGTGTTTTGTAGATGACTGCAGCTGCAGCTAGACCCTGTTTTACATACACTTTGAAACCACGACAATGCATGTATATCTATCTAGTTATCATTGAAAACAGTTAATGACCCAGGACACGCTGGAGGGACTAGGTCTCTTGTTGGCCTGGGAACGCCTTGGGGTTCCCCAGAGGAGCTGGAAGAAGTGGCTGGGGAGAGGGA